CACTGCCACAGGCACATGTGGGAATGGTGGCCTGGTCCATGGAGAATGTAGATGTGGGCCCAAACCTGCACCTCAGGAGGACCTTTTGTACCACTACAGTTCACAGCATTAGGTTGGAATCAGCATATTTGGTTGGGGGTTTTTTGCCCCCCCCTTCTGGTTTTGTACCTCCCACACCCCAGATGAGTTGAGTTGTTCCCCTCCTGAACCTGCTTAACCTGGAAGGCCCCTGGTCAGGACCATGCATGAGTACCAGCAGTTATCCTGCTTGTTTGGGTCCCTGGAGGCCTCATGTAGGGTGTGGGCTGCATGGAGAGGGCCCCAGCAGCCCTGTAGTGGTCTCCATGCACTTGGGGAGCACTCATGCATCAGGGAGCTTGTGTAGGGATGCCCTGGTCCTCCTGCCCTGTGTCCCTCCAGTGCCACCACTCTCCCCTCCGGCTGGACCATACCCATGACAGGGGTCTCCTGTGGGAAGCCTGGTGAGGTTTTCCATGCTCCCTCATTTTGGGACACCTCTGTGTCGTGGCACAGCATGTCCCTGTTTGGGATGAGCAGCACTGGCTGCCACACTGGAGACTGGAATCCGTCTCTAACTACAAACCTTTGGAGCTGTCATCTGGGACCATCTGTACTTGCTTTAAAGATGTTGGATCTTGCTTTGTTTTCAGACTTTTGATCTCTCTGTAAGCTGAGACTTCATCTGCCTCTTCAAGTTTTAAAATGTATTGGGGTTTGGTTTCAGCTGTGTAAGGCCACTGGTTGCTTTTCTGGTCTGCATTTTGGGTTTGGGAGCCAGCTGATGGGTCGTCTTTTGGGACATCAGAGTATTTGGGATTATTTTTAGCTTTTAATTGGCAGTGATCTGTACTTGGAGCTGTGTAGTGTCAAGGGCTTTTCTTCCTTGTGCTCTCAAGAAGCTTGCTTTTCGCTTTCATCTGCATGCAGCTGTGTTTCTTGCTCAGAAAGCACGGAGTACACAAGGAAACCAGCTTCAAGTGACCAGCCCAAAGGCTTGCGGAGATCAGGGCTTGCTGTGGTCAAGCCTCCATGGCTGGTAGCAGCATCCAGGGGTGCTGGCTGGTCCAGGACACTGGGGCTCTGTTCCATGAAGCACCATGGACCTGTTCCTGACCTTCACTCCCTGCTCTGGGCTGTGATTTTTGCCTCCTCTTCCCATCTTTTGTCTTGCCCCGTTTAACTGTAACCTCTTTTGGGCAGGAACACAGCGTGTGTAGGAAGGGCCTAGAACAACATGCCCCAGATGGTGGTGTACAAGCATTTTATACCTGCAGATGTGGCCAGGAACTCCCTGAGTCTTGACACTGCAGTCTCCAGGTCTCAGAAACAAGGGTTAGCACCAGAATCCCAGCTTCTGTTTCGTTTTAGTTAAAACAGAACAACAAACCATCCCCAATCTCTTTTTCTCACCTCCTGACTGCAGGGAAAAGCCTGGAGATGTGACTGGAGCAGACCTGGTGTGCTCAGAACCAGGTGGCAGTAGAAAGAACCTAATACTGCATCAAAACCAACATGAACCCCTTGGGTTTCAGCAATTGCTTGGCCATGGGTTTGCCCCCTCAGTGTCTGTGGGTCTGTTTTGGGGAGTTGCTGAAGCCACTTGTGTTTGTCTGCAGCTTATTTCCCTTTCAGGCAACCTGGCTTGGAGCACTTGCAGTGCAGACACTGCAGGACAGCACTCATTTGGCTTAAGACTTTGCTTTGAAATTTCTTCTACCAAATTTCAGGCCAATTTTATATTCTTTTTTCGTATTCATCCCTCTCCCTTCCCCCAAAAAAGAGAAAAAAGTTTTCTTACTCTCATCTTGCATCAGATTTGATACCAGGCCAACAAATCTTGCCTCGAAGGTGCTTTTCTGAGGCTGCTTGCCTCTATGTGACCTTCTGGGTGAGGATTCTTGTTCAAAAACGTAACTGTTTATTATCAGGGGCATCTTCCCCATGGTGCTGCTCTCCTGGGCTGGCAGGACAGGGCAGTCTGGGGCCCTGCTGCCCACCCAGAGGCTGCTGTGTTGTGACAAACACAGGTTTTGCAGGGCTGTTTGCTCCAGAGCAGTGGGAGTCCTGGGATTTTACCAAAGGTTTCTGTTTCTGATTAGGTTGTTCTCTGTTCTAAAGGCCAGAGATCTCTTTATGGCACAGAGTGGAAAACCTGACCAGTCACTGGGTGGTGGGTCCTCCTTTGGTGCCGAGGTGCAGTGAGCTGATGCCTCTCCTGGGTGCTCTTTGGAGGCAGAAATAGATTCCTGCCAGCCCTGAGCTTCGTGTGGCTCATCCCAGGGGGAAGCGGGTGGCAGAGGCTGGAGCAGCATTGCTTGCCCTAGCCTGACTCACAGCCATGGCTTCCTGTTGCTCTGCCCACCCTGCTTTGGGAAAGCAGGAATTGCGGTGCAGGGCTGGGGGCTGTCCTGACCCAGCTGCTTGGAATTGGGCTTTGGAGCTGGGAGCTTTCAGCAGAGCTGCTCCCAAAGCTGGGCTTTGCTGGAGAGGCTGGGCTGGGGGAAGACAGTGCAGCCTCCCAGTGCTCACAGGAAACAGGGTTTATTTTTTCCCTTCTCTTAGGACTCTGTGTCGCTCCATTGTCTGAAATTCCCTTGCAGAGACGGGCCCATAACTCTTGTAAAACAAAATAACCCCAAGTGTGGGGGCTGGACCTCCCTGGGCTCTGGCTGGCGGCCGCCTGACTCTATGCAAACAGTCTGGGCCTGAAATCCCCCGGGGAAGGAACATAAAGGTCTGATTCAAACCCAGACCGGGATATGAAGCAGCGTGTCCCACGCATCCCACTGCCTCCCCTTGCGCCATGTGTGGCTGCAGCCACGGCCCAGGGATGGTGGTTCCCAAAATGCCCGGGGAAAGCCATGCTGTGCCACCCGCTCCTGCATGTCCTCGCGTGAGGCCAAGAGGTGGGAAAAGCAGGAGAGGGGCGGGAGGGCACGGCCAGGCACCAAACCGGGAGCGGAAACCATTGGGAGAGCAAAGAATGAGCAGGATATCACGTGTGGGCTGTGTGCGCGCAGGGCTGGGGAGAACAAGGTTCCCAAAATGCCCGGGGAAAGCCATGCTGTGCCACCCGCTCCTGCATGTCCTCGCGTGAGGCCAAGAGGTGGGAAAAGCAGGAGAGGGGCGGGAGGGCACGGCCAGGCACCAAACCGGGAGCGGAAACCATTGGGAGAGCAAAGAATGAGCAGGATATCACGTGTGGGCTGTGTGCGCGCAGGGCTGGGGAGAACAAAGCTCAGGGTCTCCAGAGCTGCTCCCACCCGCTTCCTGCTGGCACAGAACCCAGGCTGCTGCCTGCCTGGCTCTGGGCAGGCTGGAAGGCTCGGCGTGCCTCAGTTTCCCTCTGCCAAGATGGGCTGGGTGCAGCAGGGTGGTCCCAAGGGGATGGCCTGCTAGGGATGGCCTTGGAAGACCAGGCTGCTGTGCTCTGGGGATGCTCTACAGGTGTTGGCCTGGAGGATGAAGCTTGTGGGGGAAGAAAGGGGCTCCCATCCGACAGGAAAGTCTTGCTCCCCAGTACTTGAACTCTACTTGAGTCTTACATCCAGCTCTGGGGCAACAACACCAGAGGGACGTGGAGCTGTTGGAGCGAGGCCAGAGGAGGCCCCGGAGCTGCTGCGAGGGCTGGAGCAGCTCTGCTCTGGAGCCAGGCTGAGAGAGCTGGGCTGGGGCAGCTGGAGAAGAGAAGGCTCCTGAAGGGGACACCTTAGAGCAGCTCCAGTGCCTAAAGGGGCTCCAGGAAACCTGGAGAGGGGCTTTGGACAAGGGGAATGGCTTTAACACAGGGCCTCTCCCAGCATCACTGGCACAAAAGGTCCCGGCCCTGCCGCAGCGGAGGCTGGTGCTGGGGGCAGTGCTGTGACTCAGCTGGGCACAGCCTCTGCACAAGCAGGATTCAGAATATCCTCTTTTTACTTCATAGGAAAGGGCAGGCCTGGTGTGGTTTGTGTCGTGGTGCAGAGGATTATGTGTGTCTTCTCTTCATCAGGAGCTGTAGTGATAGGACAAGGTGTAATGGGTTAAAACTAAACCAGGGGAAGTTCAGGTTAGATATAAGGCAGAAGCTCTTCCCTGTGAGGGTGCTGAGGTGCTGGCACAGGGTGCCCAGAGAAGCTGTGGCTGCCCCATCCCTGGCAGTGTTCAAGGGCAGGTTGGACACAGGGGCTTGGAGCAACCTGCTCTAGTGGAAGGTGTCCCTGCTCGTGGCAGGGGTTGGAACTGGATGTACTTAAGATCCTTTCCAACCTGAACCATTCCATGGTTCTATGTGTCCTCCGCTCTTGGGGGTGGTTTTGAGTCTGACCAGCAGCAGCCTGGCCCTGAGCAGCTTGGCTGGTGCCTCCAAAGGTCCCAGCTGCCAGCAACATTTCCCATGGGGACAGTGTTCTCCCAACATGACTCTCTGCTGGCTCCAACCTGATGATGAAGTGTTTCATCTCCTGCCCTTGTCAGATTGCAGTTTATTTATGCCTGCATCTTAGATGTGAGACCTCCTGTGATGGTCCTGCTACCCCAGCTTCTCCCACCCCTGGGCTGCAGCACCCTTCATCGTTGTGGGTTATCTGTAACACAGGGAAGATGTCGGAGGGGCTCTGGAGGCAGGAGCCTCCCATTGTCCTCTGCCTCCATGTTTTCTCGTGCTGATTTTCTTCCTCTCCTCTCACAGCTGGGAGCCCGAGGAGCCACGCTGGGAGGACCCTCTCCACAGGATGTTCTCTCCACCAAAGACCTCCCTGTAACAGGCGACGATGACAATCCCGGCGGGACCTTGGGAAGCACTAACATTTCAGTAGCCCAGCACCCTTGCGTGGCCGCCTCTCCCCCCTCCTCCACACCCCGTCCTCTCACTGCTCCCCGGGATGGTGTATTAACCAGGAAGAGCCCTGCTTCTGTCCTCCTCACCCCTCAACTTTCGGCAGCTCTGGGATTTGTATGGCAGCAGCGTAACCGTGGAGAGGCCGGGGTATCACAAACTTATGGATTTTGATAAGAGAGGAGGGAAAGGGGAGCTGGAGGAAGGTAAAAGGATGTCCAAGGCAGGTGGAGGAAGGAGCAGTCATGGAAGCAGGAGTGCTGGAACCAACTCGGGAGTCTTAATGGTGGGTCCCAACTTCCGGGTCGGCAAGAAGATTGGATGCGGCAATTTCGGAGAGCTCCGTCTAGGTGAGAAGGGTCATGTTCTGTCCTCACTGGGCCCTGGCATCCCCCTCAGGCAGCAGGAGGGTGCCTGTGACCATCAGCACCAAGGGTGTTGACCAGCCATCCAGTGTCGAAGCCTTGCACATTGCAGGTAGCCCCTGCTTCCTTCACCAGGAAACTTCATTTTCCTTCCTTCACGAATTTCCTCAGCCCCTTTGTGCTGTGTTTAATCTCTCAAAGCCTGTCAGCCCAAAGGACCGAATCCAGAGATGTTTCCCATCTCCTCCCCATCCCTGTCACTCTTGGGTTTGTCAGGGAGAGTGTTGCAGCTCGGTCCTGTCTGTTGGAAGTGGTGGTGGCCTGTGCACGCCTGGATGTCCATGTGTGTGTCCTCACTACATCTCACCCCACTTTTGCACAGGGTGCCCCCCTCCCACTGCACCACCTCAGGAGGCAGGTGAAGAGTGAGGGCTCTGCTGGGGAAGACTCAGTGTTTTATCCCAGCTGAACTCTCCAGTTGTTAAAACTGGTTGTTCAGAGACGCTCCTCAAATTTTATGCACGTGAAAGGGCTGAATGAGACCCAGACACCTCCCATGGTCACTCTCCATGTTGAACTAAGTCTGTCAGGTTCAAGCAGACTCTTGTTTGGAGGAGGGGTAGGCTGCTCCTCTCCCAGGACATGCCCCAGGAGGTTTTCGGCAAGCTGTGAACTCTTGGGTTGGCATCAGGCAGCTGGGAGAGGTGGCAGTGCCCAGCAGTGTGGTTGGGATGTCCCCAGCAATGTAACATTGGCCTTGGCTGCCAGTGCTTTGGGAAGGGGCTGGTGCCCCGGGCAGAGGGAGCCTGGGGCAGCAGTTGCCTTGTTGCTCTGTGCTATGTTAAGCAGAACCTTTTGAAGCCCAGCTCGGTGCTACCCCTGCAGGGACATGGTGATCTGGGAAAGGTGTTTGCCTGAGGAGGAGCAGGAGGTGAGGGGCTGCAGGCACCGTATGGAGGATGGGGAGAGTTTTCCCACCTCACTGGGCCACCCCTGTCTGTGGGGAGTTAGTGGTACAGCTCTTCCCAGCTGACAGACTGGCTGGTGCCAGGCTGAACTGTCCCGGTCCCGAATTCCCAATGGGATCGCCGCTTAATTGCAGAGCTTGGGAAAACACTGTTGAAAATCCAGCCAAGAGGTTCCCGCATTCAGTAGTGGAGGGTCTGTCTCTCCGGGTGTTGAAGAGACAGACCCGGGAATTGTGCAAGGAGAAGTATTTGGGGATGTTGCCACCTCAAAGGATGTTGCTCCTTTGGCTCCCCAGCAGGATCTGGACCCCCTGGAATGCTGCATCTCCTGCTGCTGGTGCTGCAGGGCTGGCTGGGAAGGGGTGCCAGAGGGCTCTGAGCTGTGCAGGGTCTGTCTGTGTCCTTGCACTTCCTTTTCCCTGCTGGCAGTGAACATCCCTCAGTTTGGGTACGTGTTTGTGGGTGCGTTTCTTCTGAGATCCTGCTCTAAGCAGGATCAATTTCAGTTGACTCTGAAACAGCTGAGGCCATGGCTGTTCTTTGGGGTGCTCAGTGCTGGGTGGCACCCCCTGCCTTGGCCTTCCCTTTCTTTGCTTTTTGGGGACAGCACCAAGGTGAACACGAGTCTCATGGGGATCTGAGGAGCATCTGTGAGGCTGGCAGTCAGGGTTGCTTGGAGCAGAGGTGCTGCAGGGGTTTGGGAGCAGCGTGTTCTCTTTGCTTGGGGCTGAAGGGACAAGCTCTCGCTCTGGAGCTCTGAAGTGGTCGATTCTTGCTGTGAGAGTTTGTCCTTGCCACCAGCCAGAGAAGCTTCTAGTCCCTTCACATGGTTTTCCTGCCCTGTCACACCCTTGTGGTGCCTGGCTGTAACACGGTAAAGGCATGAGCAAAGGATCTCATCGCAGCACTGAAAGCCACAGCTATGTGGCTTTTCTCCTAAAATCACATCTCTCTTCCTTAGGTGTGCCTCTGAGCTGCATGAGGGCTCAGGAATGCATCAGCACCTCACAGAAAGGAGGGATTCCTCCAACTGCAGATGAATGGC